ATCATAGTTCCTGGGCTCCCTGTGCTCTTATTCTCACTTCAACTGGTTTTTTGACTCCTTGCTTCTCCATCGTGGTGCTTGCCGATTTGTAGACACGCAATCAACACGACGGCCGACCAAAAGTTAATGAAAGACCGACGCGCCTCAAAGTCTAGGTGTACCTGACTTTGTAGCAAAAATAGAAAACATTGTCGGCAATATCTGTCAATCATTCCTCTGATTTGCAGCCGATGTTTCTATTTCTAGTTACAACTTCTGTTAATTTGAAAACAAAGTGTGTAACCTATTGTAGTAAGTTATCAACATCTAGCACTACTTCAGCGTCAAATCAGTGCCTAGAATTGCTGTAAATATTGTTATTGTTGCTGTGACGACACCTGTATAACGACTGGCAATTGCGTGAATTATGTACCTTTTACTTAGCACTGAAATAATTATTTAATATCTATAAATTTCAATAAAAATCATAACAACAATTAATTAGTATTCCTGGTCACAATGTATGAATCAATCAGTAAACAATCCTCGCATTGCTGTGGGCCTGATCATATCACATTACAATAGAGCAAACTATACACGTAGTATTTACTGCCCTCTCCAAATACCCATAATTCTTTATGGCTGAGGTAACCACGTGACACAGAGACATTGAGGAGGTTCAGATTTGAACCATCAACCCATTGCGAGTCCAAAGTCATAACCATTGTAAATCAGTGCATAACCATGGCAACCACGCTGAATGACTGTGTATCGTAATTGTTGTATCATCCCCAGTTTTCAAGGATAAGATGCACCATCTAACCAAAATTATTAATGTGACCGAAAGAATAGAACGGCAATATTGACACTGTTTTGCTAACAAAATAGGTAAATTACACAAAGTGTTGCCATAGAAAGCAATGGTTACATTGTGAGATATATAGCTATATCATTAGCAAAACAGTGCATCAGTCGTTTTTATTGTGTTCCACTGAAAATATATTGTTCAATTTTTCATAGTGTAATAACATTGGCGTGCACTCTTCAGAAAGTCCACACCCTTAAATTGAATTTGCTTGTTAGTATTATATACTAAAACTGTTTTGTTCGTTGTAGGTAACACACATGATGAATTCTTAGATCAGATACAAATATATCTTTTGTACAAAAATTCACGTTTTAGGAATCAAATAAAAAATCGAAGTAATGACAACTGTATTTGAAGGACTGCTTTATTTATGTAAACATAATCATATATGCAAATTAGGTAACAAAGACCATAAGCACTATATACCTTCGGCATTTCTGCTGGCAATCAGTTTTGACTAACACGTTGCATCACAATTATAGCCAATCTATATGCTTAAATCACATGGCAACAGAAACGTGCATAAATTTACTAATCATACAGCCAATTCTGGCAACATTTGTTCATATAAATGAGCACCTGGGTTTCGAATTGCTAAAATTAACTTCAGATAACTGTGAAAGCAAGTATTGTACACCTACAATGAGTTTACTTGCACTGGCAACACTGTAATGTGAACAATTATTTGATTGTCAGTTTATAATTTGGGTTGTATATGGCAACCGCGGGGAACAAATAGACTTCACCTAAATTACAATCAGTGAAAGCATGGATTGTTCTCATAGAATGCCCGTCTTTAAATGTGATACTGCCTCGAACACCGAGTTCGATTACTATGATCAGCTCAGTGATGTCCTTCTCTACTTCCAAGGTTGTAACCAAGTTTCCATCTGAGATGAACTTAAACTTGTAGAGACTGCCCTGTTTGCCTTGTACCATACATCTGGAAAGGTATCTACCATGGTTAGCATCGATGTGTCTATCTCGGTATGCCCCAGTCATCATGCCAATCATGAAGTTCACACCCTTTTCTAAAGGCGGGCAGTCTTTGGAAATAACCATCTTCCATAGGTGTGATCCAGAAGCACCTACTAGACCATCGTTGCTAAGAACGGCAAATGACGGACCGAGAAATGGACCCGAATTACTTCCAGGGTTAGTCTCTCGCAGAGGCTGGTCACTGGTGAGCGCAACAGTTTTTGTTTGCTGATCAAGCTTTAAACTCGGATGAGCAGTACCAGCATTCCAACTAAAGTAAAAAACTATAAAAAAAAAAAAGTTGTGTTGTTTAAAAATTATATTACATATTGCAAAATATTCAGAAAAGAAAGAAAATGACTTACCCTTTAAGTATCCTAGGTTGAATATAGACAATACATTACGTATTGCAGTAGTATTCAGCACAAGAGGGTCTGTTGTCTCACTTTTTACAGGCACCAGGGCAGACTTTTCAAAAGCTGTATTAGCAGCAATTACTCTAAAAGAGAACATGACAATAAACCCACCGTTCACTGTAATATACTGGTAACAGATACTTTCACTGACATTATTAGTCCCCGTTCGGACGGAGTCCGAAAACGGGGACTTATGTTTTGCCCTGTGTGCGTCCGTGCGTCCGTCCGTGCGTCCGTGCGTCCGTCCGTGATCACCTGTATCTCGAACATGCATGGACCGATTATGTTCAAACTTCACTCATACATCACACATTATATGGGACATATGCACATGCATTTTTTTCATGATCCGATTAACGATAGCCGAATAGCGGCCATTTTAAGGCCGAAAATGCATTGAAATCGCACATTTTCACCATTCCGGACCCAGATCTCAGTTATGCATGGACGGATTTCATTCAAATTTGGTACTTACATTAAACATAATAGGACCTTGATGCACGTCATTTTTTTTTCCGGATCAAGTTCGAAATGGCTGACTGGCGGCCATTTTCTTAAAGAATTCAGTTCTGGATCCGTATCCAAGACATGTCTGGATTGATCAAGTTCAAACTTCACACACACATGGTGCATCATGTCACAAATAGATATGTGCATTTGTTTCATGATCCGCTTAACAATAGCTGAATGATGGCCATTTTAAGACCGAAAATGCATTAAAATCACGTATTTTCACAATTCCGGAACCAGATCTCAGTCATGCATGGATGGATTTTGTTCAGATTTAGTACAATGTGTTGTACATATGCAGGTGCATTTCGGTCATGATCTGCTTTGAATGTATATGTCACTCAAATATGAACGGAACGGGGACGTGTCATTGACAATGATTTGTGATATATATGTTTACTTGCATAGCATAAAGGAAACACCTCAGTTATTTGTCCAAATATATCGGAAAAGTAAGTAAAATACGACTCACCGTTTTCTTAAATTGGATGCACTCTGTTAGGGGTAAATATATTTAAAAAATATAAATTAAAACTGGTTTATTCGTGCCAGGATGACATTGCCCGATTAGTGACGTCATTATATAATACAATATAATTAATATAAAGTTCCTGAAACAAATGGCAAATACGAACTATTTTGATATAGATAATAAACGTTTCCCAGAATGCAACACATACCAGAAGAAACGGCTCAACTTCTTCTACTTCAAGAGCTTGCTGTATAATCTCAACAGTGCCTGAATTTTCATCTAGTACATCGGAACAAGTGCTAGATTGCTGCGAGACACAGTCGGTTTTCATTGTATTATTCAATGCAACTTCTAAGTGGACTCTCTCTTCTGCTTCGTCTAACACTGCGTGTAGTTTACTGAATTCATCCTTGATTTGTTTATCCATTTCTTTGCCACTTTCCTGTCACAGTAGTATGAACGCAGCGATTTCAAAATAGAATAAAATTAATTTCCCATATATAGAAGTACAAGTTCAAGAACTCAATTCAACTGTCATACAATAATCAACTAAATAAAAAACACATAATAATACATGGTGAATGCAGTTAGATAATAATATACACATCCTAGGCCTAGAAGTAATGTCCTGCTCTACAGGTGACAAATCGACCTGGACCATAATTATGGCAAATCACTGTATACTCAGACGTTTGACAACATCTAGCTTATGTTTTATTAGTTGC